TCTAGAAGAGCATATAAGAAGTACAATTGCAATAATAGAAAAAGACTTACCAGTTTTGAGCGTGCACCACTGGAATATTTGCAAACAATTATGCTAAGTCTTAAAACCTTTTGAGGTAACCACAAAAAGTATTAGCGGCGAAAAATATGCCACTGCATCTTTAGTTATTCCTTTAGTGAATGGTCTAAAGTCCGTATGTGATGTTTTAAATAAAAAAGACTTCAATCCTGACGTGACACAGATTATTTCAAAATTAACTTTGGGTCTTGAAGAACGATTTGCTAATGTAGAACGTAGCAATACACTTGCCTTCTGTACCTTTCTCGACCGCAGATTTAAAATGCTTGCTTTTTCAGATGAGAAAATAGCAGAAAATTTAAAAAAAAATGTCATATGAATTGTAACATCCAAATTTTCACAAAAGCAAACAAATAGTCTCGAAAATTCTTCAGATGCAGAACAACCTAATAATAATGACACTGATTCCGACGAAGAGTTATCTGTATGGGGATGTTTTAAGAAGACAGTGTCAAAGAGTACGAAACCAAAAGCAATAATTGAAGTACAACGTTACTTGGAAACCGATTTGCTACCGCGAAATGAAAATCCATGCAAGTGGTGGTTTGATCACAAATACTATTTTCCAGCATTGAGTTTTTTGTGAAAAATTTTGTGCTTTAGCGACGTCAGTGCCTTGCGAAAGACTATTTTCTAAGGCAGGTGAATTAATTACCGATCGTCGAAATCGATTAAAGGCTAATAAGGCAAGAATGCTACTTTTCTTAAATTGCAATCAAAACTTAGTAAAAAAAAGTGTTTCTTAATGTATTTTCTTTGTATATTTTTCTTTTTTATCTTTATGCCTCATTTGTTTAATTGTGGTTCCTCTTTTAGATTTATTATTGCTTCAAGCAACCTCGGTTATTTTTTTGTTTTTATTTTTTACTAAACTGGAAACCAAAAATTTTTATTTATTATCCGTTCGTTATATTGTGTTTATTTTATGATTTTGTATAGTTTTAAAATTTTTCTTAGAATTTACATTTTGTTTTATTTTATCGATAATGCGTTGGTATTAAAATAAATATCATATTATGGTTGTTTGTTTATTTATTTCTTTTATTATAATTTATAATTATTAATTAGATACGCTACTAACTGCGAGCATTCGTAGAATAAAAAACAAAACACTGCCCCGCTGAACCAAAACATAGTAGTGACAGTGACGTGACCTTCCTCCTGCATTTATGTTTAGGTGGCAGTCAGCAGCTAGCGCATCGCCAGTTGTTTATTTATAAATCCGATGTCACCCTAATTAAAGCGTTTTTCACTACACACGCAATTTGCACTTTTTGTATCCTTGTTTATCGATATTTAAAAGAAGAAAGTGAGAATTGAGTGTGCCAGTGAAAAAACACTATTAAAGCTACTCGATAAACGAAGCAGCGACCTGAGTCGCTGTCACCGGCACACCGGTGACCCGAGAGTAGCTGCTAAGCTCATCTCTACTCAAATGGTTCGTAATCACTCAAGTCACACATAATGGGTCTATTGAATAAAAAGAATTATTGGCTTCTACTTCCTCTTATTTAAGTATTTTCTCAGTATAAATTGAATAAAAGTTCAGTGACTACTTCATGTAAAAGAGGTTACTTATGCCCATAAGGAAACTCTTATGGTTTCAAGTAGTTACTTAAAATACAGGGTTGGGCATAATTGGCGGAACACCCGATTTGTGGCTCAATTATGGATTGTATTGAAAATTAACCCAAATAAAGTTTTTTGTATATTTTATGTACTATTTAATGACGCTTGGGGATTTTCATTATCTGTCATATTTATCAAGATATGACGTCATCGGATGAAATTTTAAATGAATCACCCTATATTTATATTTTTTTTTCAGATAGATCTTTTCTTTCTGAATCCATTAATGTAAGGTTTGAGGGTCTCCGAGTTCATAACAAAATAGAAAGTAAACATTTATTTAATAAAAAATAATAATTATTATCAATCGAAGTATTACAAATCTCTCAAAGTAAGTGTTCGAAGTGAAAGCCTCCAACTGCCTGACAATATCCTAGTCTATCAACAAATGATCTTAAGGCATTTTGATAAACTTCAGGTGTTATTTCTTGAACAGCAATTCTTATTTTGTATTCCAATTCTTCCAGCGAATGTGGCAGGTCCTTATAAACTACTGATTTCAAATGGCCCCAAAGAAAAAAATCCAGTGGGGTTAAATCCGGTGACCGTGCCGGCCACTCAATATGTCCTCTTCGACCCACCCATCTCTGTGGAAATATTGTGTTCAGGTACTGCCTCACTCTAGCATCGAAATGAGGTGGAGCACCATCTTGCTGGAACCAAATTTCATCAGAAAGTTGTAAGTGATTTCTGTGATTTGGATATAAACGAACTAACTCTGGAACTATCTGCTCTTGAAGTAGTTGCAAATAACGATCACCGTTCAGAGTTCCTCTCATGAAGAATGGTCCAATAATTCTTCCTCTAACTATACCAGCCCAAACATTTAACTTTTGTGGATATTGGGTGTGACCTTCTTCCATCCAGTGAGGATTATGATCAGACCAATACCGGCAATTATGTTTATTTACAAATCCATTGAGACAAAATGTTGATTCGTCGGAAAAAACAATGCTGTTCATCAACATATTATTTCCATTAATGGCATCCATCATTACCTGGCAGAATTGCATTCGCCTATCTGGGTCATCTTCATTCAATTCCTGGTGTAATTGCACTTTATAGGGATGAAATTTATTGACTTTCAGAATCCTCCTTACAGATCTCTCGCTCATATTATTGTCTAACGCAAGCTTTGGAACTGAAGTTTTTGGTTCTTCCTGTACACTTAGAACCACATTAAGTGCATTTTCTTCATCAGTGGCTGTCTTCTTCCGTCCAGATCTGGGATTATTTTTCACACTTCCTGTTTCATTAAACTTACTCAAATTTCTGGATACTGTAGATTTAGAAATCGGGGAAATCCTGTCAGGAAATGTTTCATTGAACAAATTACAAGCTTCTTGCAGAGATCTCTTTCTGTCTCCAAACCCAATAATCATCAATAGTGTAATTCTTTCACGTTCACTCAGTTCAACCATGGTTTAAATTAATAAAAATTCTCAATAGTATCAAATGCTAAGAGGTATTTATTTTCGCGTATTGGGCTAGTTTGGGTGAAATGAATTGACTTGCAATTAAACTCAACTTGTTTGATTGTCTCCATAAACCAGAATGAATTAAAATCTACAGATTAATAAAAGGTGACAATAGTTTTTATAATATTATAAAAACCAAGTAAACAGTAACACAAAAACATTGGTAGGTATTTCTGTCAGAGATGTACAATAATCGTATTAATAAAACTCAGTGATTAATATCGAGATGTCAATATTACATTTTAATGTCAAAAAGTGAAACCATGGCAAAACAATTGATATTGGTACATTATGATGGCACAGACAACTTTGTGAATAGTTATTCATTAATTATTTAAAAGAACGTTTACCATTTTGTTTTATTATTTTCTGATGATAAGGAAAATCAGAGACCACCCGAACCCCATATTGATGGATTCAGAAAGAAAAGATCTATCTGAAAAAAAATATAAATATAGGGTGATTCATTTAAAATTTCATCCGATGACGTCATATCTTGATAAATATGACAGATAATGAAAATCCCCAAGCGTCATTAAATAGTACATAAAATATACAAAAAACTTTATTTGGGTTAATTTTCAATACAATCCATAATTGAGCCACAAATCGGGTGTTCCGCCAATTATGCCCAACCCTGTATAAGGATTTACTTATATTTTTCCAGTACTGGCTTATTTTTATTTGAATAAAAATAAGATCTGTCTTAAATTAGTCAGTTATAACTTGATGATTTTTAAGGTAGCTATAAAGCATCCTTTTTTCTCTACGGTAGTTGCTAGTATACTTTGTTAAACATGGTGGACTTCATAAATGTTCGTAACAGGAAGAACTATAGTAAGAGAAGCATCAGCCCAAGCAAATCTAAGCTCTTGTTGCGTTTTGAAAGTGAAAGTATAGACTTTTCAACAGTAGTATTTGTCCCAGACATTTGGATAAATTCGTCTTTGAGATCTTTCCATGCCTTTTCTTAAGCTTAAACTATAGTAGGAATCATTGATTTATTCAAAAGAACCTTATACTTTTTTAGCAATTTAACAAACATAAGTCTGTAACCGCCAATTTTTACTGGCAATTCATTTTTTCTCACTCGAAAACAAATGCTTACTTGTGGTTGCATACAATCCTGTCACGACTTATTTAGTATCAATTTTTGTTTAGAGGGTTGTGTTCGCATTCCCATGTCTTTCATTCATCATACGCAACGAAAAAAGTAAATACTTGTAAATATAAGTAAGTACTTACAAGTAATTACTCAAAATTCAAAAGATTTTTCCAATATTTACTTTCGAGAGAGTTCTAGTTTTTATTCAAATAAAAATAAGTACTAGCTTCTACTTAGAAGTTTTAGCTTTTTCTTATAAGTTATGACTTGCAAGGTAATACTTTTCTTTATTCAATAGACCCATTAATAGGATTCTTTTGGTTGCGAAATCATAACAGTTCTATAATTATTTTATAACTGCGCAGAACAACATGCGCAGAAACTAGAGTTTAAGAACTAGTTCTGAATCGATTATTTTTAGTAGGAACTAAAACATCTTACATTTCTTCTGCATCTTTTTATTTTGCATCAATTTTAATCGTACTATGGTAAGAATTCAACCACTGGAAGTTAAAAACAAAGAATTATGAAAATTTCCATCGTGTGATGCATAACCTAATGTGTTCTATGTTTTAGGGGGTTGACATTTGACAAAAAAACAAAAAAATATATATATATATATTTTTATTTTTATGACTTGTTGATGCTTGTTTACAGAGACAAGTAATTAATTATTAAGTGATATACTGATCTGTGATACTGATTTAAAAATGGATAATGGTAAGATATTTAAGGTGAAAGGTGATCGACGTTCACTGCAAAACTTTTTTAATGACCATCATAGATAATAAAAGTAATTTTTGTAGGGACCTCACAATTGTCTCAATTCTTGTCATTTACACTAAGTAATGTCGAAGAAATAGAAGAAACATTTTTCAACCACAACAGATCTCTTGATCTAATCAACCTTTACAAAAAATATAAATCCAAAATTGGAACATATGAGGTAAAAAATATGAACAAATTATGGGATTTGGTAGCAAGAGACTTATCAAATATGCATAAAGAGTAACAATTGCATCAAGCAAATGTGAAAATAGATTTAAGGTGCTGGATAGGAATTATAAAAAGTTTGTTGATAAAAATGCGAAAACAGATAGAGGTCGTACAAACTTTGAATTTGAAAAAGAATTTGAAGAAATTTATGGTGGCAAATCAAATGTTTATCCTCAGGTTCTTTTGTCTAGCGAAACCGAAGTTGTTTTACATCTAGACGAAGAAGAAAATACACATGAGGTTGAAAATGATCAACAAGCACACTCTGCACAAGCACCTTCAGAAACACCTAGCTCACGGTTCTAGAAATGCAGAAAACAGGTCAATTCTAATTGCAAAACGTAGGCGCACAAAAGTAGTAACCTCCACGTATAAAAAACGAAATTAAATATTGATAGATATGAAGAATGATTTAAAAATTTATTACAGTAAGAAAATACATATCGATCGAGAAAAATTGGAATTGGACAAAGAAAAACATAAGGAGAAAGTAGAAAGAACTGAGCTTCTTAAGGAACACCTCGAACAAAGAAAAATATTCAACATGAATAGACAATAAGATATTATTCATTTCAAGTATTAAATATTTATTTTGTTTGAAGGAGAGTTTATTTTATTTTTTATTTGTAAACTAGATGTTAGATTAATATTCTTTTATTTTGTTTGAATCCAAAGAACTAGGTTTATTTTATTTGTGAGCTAGGTAGTTAATATATCCTTAAGTTAGTATTAAGTGTTAATTTTCAAATTTTTGTTTGTATTAAAAAAAAAAAGTTTATTAACCGGGTTTATTTTATTTTAAATGTTTTAATAAAAACCAAATTTGTTGTTTAAATAAAATTACACCTAATTAATCACAAATTTAACGTAACTACCAAATAGTTACGAAAACCAAATCCCACATCATTCCCTTTATACTTATCATGAACATTCTCATTTCTTTGAAAATTTGGTTGAATCTGATTGGCAACTTCTTCCAAGTCTTCTTGTACCCCCAGTGTTAAATTGTGTAGAACACAGCAAGCCCGAATGAAGTGCCTACATTTTTGTTTAAGGAGTCCAAATGTATGTTCTATAATTACTCTAACATGACTTAATTTTTTATTAAAATTTTTCTCCCCTTCATTTAAGTTACCAGTATCTCAATAGGGTGTCATTAGGTTTCTTTAACATGGGTAGGCACTATCATCTAAAATATAGTCATACCCACATTTCTCATCAAGTGTGTCCTTAAAGGTGGAAGACTCTTGAATCACGGACCGACCCTGGAAATCCAATAAAAATGTCCCTTATGCATATTTTTGTGTCACATACTGCCTGTACCTAAAATTGATAAAATACTTTATTGATATATATTTTATGAACTTACATGGACTGAAAAATACTTCTTCCTATTTCTGTATGAGTTAGGATCCTATGTTGGCTCATCAATTTTGATGTGGGTGCCATCAATACACCCCAAAACATTTGGAAATCCCATTTTAAGGAGGTCCTTTCGCCACCGCTTTCGCCACCAATGTTAAATAAAAAATATTAGATTATGACTAAATTTATTTTTTTTCTAATAGTTGAAGTCCTTATTTATCTAATGTTGAACTTTTAACTATACCTTACCGTGCAAATTTTTGAGAATTTTTTTTTTAAATGTGAGTATTTGTACAGTGTCTTACGAGAAAATAAGACCTCAACAACAATTCTCGAATTATATTATTATTTATTGATTAGATGGAGTAGAAAAAAACTAAAAATAGGGTTTTTGAAATATTTAGGTTTTGTTTTTTACAATAAAATATATAGGTTACCTTGGAATTTATTGAGAAATTAATATTAAAAAAAAAATTGAAGTAACCTAGTTGAACATTTTTTGTGATTTTTTAATATTAATTTCTTAATAAATTCCACGGTAACCTGTATATTTTATTGTAAAAAACAAAACCTAAATATTTCAAAAACCTTATTTTTAGTTTTTTTCTACTCCATCTAATCAATAAATAATAGTAAAATTAATTATAATTCGAAAATTGTTGTTGAAGTCTTATTTTCTCGTAAGACACTGTACAAACACACACATTTTTAAAAACATTTTTTCTCAAAAATTTGCACGGTAAGGTATAGTTAAAAGTTCACTATTAGATAAATAAAGACTTCTACTATTAGAAAAAAATTAATTTTAGTCATAATCTAATATTTTTTATTTAACATTGGTGGCGAAAGGACCTCCTTAAGAAATTCCCTTTTTATTTCCTCCTTTTCTGCATCTTTTGGCCCAAGTAATTATAGCAGGCGATTTGGAGCTTAAAAATAGGCTTAGATCTTTAACAATTGCATACAATATGCTCACTGCAATGTTAAACCTATCAGTTACGTCTCTAAAAGACGCTGCCTCATGTGATCCAAACCAACAAAAAACTAGAACATATTTTTGTGGAGGTAACCTTACAAAACCGGTATCTACTTGGGGGTAATAAGAACTGCTTTCAGATTTCTGGGCAAGTTGCTGAACAATTTGCCTCGGGACTTTAAAATGCTCCACAAATTCATTGTCTGTATACAAGGGCACAGTATTATCAAAATACATATATTATTAAATTAAATATTTTTTGGCTTGCCTAATCATCTTAAAATGTCCCAAAACGTGTAAAAAAAGTATTATGAGCAAAGTATATGTAAGTATAAAAAATAAAAATTTACGGATTAAACCATTTACATTATCAGTGCCATCTTTACACACTGGTCAGCTGAGCTCTAGCCCATGGCCCCTGTCGCAAGGGGACTCTCACTGGCTAAATAAAATTGATTTGAAAGACATAAACCATCATACACATAAAGAATAATGCCGGTTTATTTTGTAAATGTACTGTTAAGACATTAAGACTTGGTTCTTACATTCGAAGTATAATAAATATTTTAACTTCATAGGTAATATATTTCTGTATGCCTACATATCTGTCATTTTAAATTTTTATATATAAATACTGTTTAAAAAATGCCCTTTTTGCTATTTCCAATCGGGATGTAAGGGGGGCGGCAAATTTAAAAGGGTTAAGGGTTCCGCGATGGATAAAGACGGCCCTGTACATTATGAAATTGATATGTGAATCAAATTTGCATACCTGGTTTAATATTTATTTTACTTGCCCATCTTTTTAAAGTGGAAATCGAAGGAAGAGGGTACCCTCTTTTTCCTAATAAACGGTAGGACCTTGGACCTCCTGCATATAATGAACTAGCCAAAGCAATATCTTCTACAGACCATTGAACTTGCTTGACACTTTTAATTTAAGTAGTAGTAGTTAATGTAAAAAGTTGTTTGTTTTCTTTTCTTCCTTTTCTTTGTGAAGTATTTTTTAAATGTGAATTTTCATTTTACAGTAGTTTGACTTGTTCTTCAAAATCAGTTTTAAGTTTCTCAGACGATTTTCTTGTTCTTTTTTATTTTCAAGTCGAGTCTCAATATTGGATTTTTAGGTTCGTGTCTCAAAATTGGATAGTTCTGTTAGTGTCTCAAAATTGGATAGTTCTGTTCGAGTTTCAAAATTGGATAGTTCTGTTTGTGCCCCAATAGTAGATATGCAAGGTTTTTGTTGACTAAAATAAATAAAAATTCATTTATTTTGTCAACACCTAATTTAAAAAAATCTAAGTACCAAGTATTTAAATATTTAGATACTTACAGATCTTTTATTATCTCCCTATAGTCTTTTATTCATTATCACGGTTCGTTTTAGCTGAACCGATGTCTGAATACTTGGTGTTTTTTTAAATAAAGAGAAGGTACTGCATCTTTTTTTAAATCCATTTTTTCAGACAACTTCAACAGTTTACCTTTTAAACAGTAATTACTTTCTACGAAATGAGTAGAACATATTCTTGTTGTTTTCACATTAAATTTGTGTTGCTGATAACACTTTAGAATCCATTGAGCGCAAACTTGTTTGTCTCTTGGAAATCTAAAAAAAGGCAATCCGAAAAGTTCTTGCTTTTTTTGTTGTTGTTTGAACAACCCACCACTGCACAGTATACCATAGTAAATGTTTAAAACAATGTTTTTAAATATAACGCACGTTTACTTCTAAAACCCAACAAACCAAAGAAACAAAATTAAATAATCGGTAATACACGCAAAACCGCTTTGCTCCGTATAGAACTGGCTGTTGCTGAGTCGGGTAGTGTCTCCCATTGACGTCAGGCGCGCGAGAGAGATGGGCTGATCGCACGTGCCAGGGGTTTATCTTCTCGAGTAAAGACTCAGCCACGCTTGCTAACGATTTATCGCAAGAGATAAATCGTGGACCGTGGACGACTGAACGATAAAAAATATTTCAAACCTATTGAACTGGCTGTACCGAAAAAGTCGCTTAGCTAAAAAAGCTTAGCGGCTAACCGTGTCGCTCTGTTTTCAATTCGGTTTGATTTTAAGCAACTTTTGTTTAATTTTTTAACCGACTTTTCTTGCAGTTTGTCATGTAAACTAAAGAGTGCATATTCACAATGTCGGATTTTAAAGAAATTTTAATTTCGGAAGTTCAAAGTACACCCATTTTATGGCAGGATACTAATAAACATTTTAAAAATAAAAGTGTGACAGACAAGTTATGGGCAAAAGTCGGACTTGCTTGCGGTGTAGAAGGTAAGTTATTTTGCATGAAATTATTTTGAGGTTATGTTATACAAATACTTATAAAGTTTACAATTTTTAATCGTAGAAAAATAACAAAAATAAATACAAGTAAATACAGATGATTACTGATGTTCATATAAATATGTTTCAAACATCTCTCTAATTTGTTTAGCTTCTCTGGATGATCGATTATAATTTCTATCTTGTCCTTGATTTAATTGAACAGAATTTTCGTACGTTTGCATATTTAAGGTTTCCATAATAGTACAATAATCAAGAGCGGTTTCACCGTCGTGACTTCGTATACAATTATGAAGTATGCATGCACATTTTATTAATACGCTAGCTTTATCTGGATATGTCTATGGGCGATTCTCGTGTAACTGTGATTTTTACAAATTAAAGTTTTCTAAATTTAAAAATGTTTTAAAACTTATGTTTTACGCGTTTTTGTTTTCTATTTATGCACAGAAATAAGCCTGTAAAGTGGTCATACTACAGCTACAACACACCGAAAACTGTGACAAAATTTTAAAATTTTAATGCCACGGTACTGACATTATTTCCACGGTACTGACATATAAATTACTATTTTTTTTTACCAATCGAAAAATTGGTATAAAATTGCAATAAAATTTAATGCAGTTTGCATTAGATTGTAGTTATAACAGGTAAATTTTATATT